TCGGCTGGAGTGGAAATCTAACGACTCAACAGTGGGTATTATTTTAGTCGTGTATGTTTTAGAAGCTTTAAGTGTATCAAGTTCTTGAAGTATTGTAAGGTTTAGGCAAACATATATAATAACGTAATATGAGCACAAGGGGTTCCTCAACATCCAAAAGCTCCGGCTATTTCTGCATTTTTGGAAAAGGTCCAGGATTTCTATATGCTCCAGATGCACCGAAATTTACTGTTCTTTCTGGAGTTCAAATGGTTCTTGGAGTTACGAATGTTTTGAGTGTTCTCACAGTTCCGATGATATTCGGAATTACGGAAGGTGTTCCTAAAGTTCTGAATGGTACTGCATATTCCATGAATTCTTGGAGCTCATAGAATTTGAAAATTTCCAGTAGACATCGGATTCTCGCCGTTCCGGATATTCTGAAATCAAACGCTAATCTAAAAAATCTCTCGATACGCCGAGCACTCTTAGATCTACTGATTTTTTTTGAATTGCAGAAATTCTTGGAAGTTCTTTTAAAATATCAAAAACATCGTGAACTGTGGGAGTATCATCGATTCTAAAAGTTTAAGAATTTCCGGAACATCATAAATCGAGATTCCTAGTACAATGTGGGTCCTAAATCCTGATGATATAATATGTAATGCGCTTCCTAAGTAACATTGTAAGTTTGATGAAGGTTTTAAAGCATTCTACAAGTCTAAATTGTGGTCTACAGAACCCTCATAAAACCAAAATTGCTACTTGGGATAGATGTTCAACTTTCGGACGGGGTATTTACTCCGGGGATTTTTTTAAAGCTTTTGAAACTCTCCTGAAACAGTGAGAATACTTCTGGACCTTCAGAACCCATAATAATATCAGGAAATGTCTCAATCAGTTGGGCGGGAAAATGTTTAAAAAATGAGGGACATCCCAGACAACCAGAAGTCGTATAACAATGTACAGAAAGTATCGTAAATAACTACAGTTTAAGTCAACATCGCATAGAAGTATGACATACATCGCATTATGTTTAAGTTAAATCGTATAGAATGCAAATTTCCGACTTATATACGACGAATCTTTTTTTCATCGTACTGTATCACAAATTAAATCGGATTACATCGATCAAATTAAATTTGTTATTACAGATTTAATCGTATATAATTTCAAATAAACTCGTTTTAAAAGAAATTAAAAGTTGCACGTATATGGCCTCCACTTTTGTAGGTATAGGCCCTTTTTTGCATTCTATACGATTTGTTTGTTTGTATATATGTTTGAATATCACAGAAACAACTTTGAATATACGTACATTCTGGTTGTCTGGGATGTTTCCTGGAACGGGCGATCGATACCTTTCATCTCCTCCACTTTCTCTGACTACAATAATGGCTGGTGAAGGTTTTAACTTACTTCATACATTAACTAGATCGTCGTTTGCGTGTCGGAAAAAAATGTGAAGCTTTGTAGCAACTAGCCAGATCTCAAACGCTTCCGTGAACCATGTTATTAAATCGGAAGATTAAAAGGATTTTCAGTAAATTGTTGTCCAGAAAACACAATAGAAAAATGTATATTTTTAACAACTCGATCAAATCCTACTTCAGTCCACTTTTTTTTTGTATTTGGCTTGTCGACCAACAGTGAATCAATTTTCCGGTAAATTTGGGACAACCGATTACCAGTCCTCTCCTCACATCAGTATTTCTGCATTCGATGGCCTCACTTTCTTCACTCTGCACAGCTTGCCTCACGTGACCATACACTACATTGTTATACATGAATTAATTAATCGCTAATTGGCAGCCAACCACCGATCAAACAAACCAGAAGACGAAGCAAACAGCAACTACACAGGGGCGGTCGGCACTCACAGTAACAGGTGACCATAGTGGTTCAAACACTTTCCCTTCCTCCTTCCATCTGGCTGGCAACCAGGGTATGCCGCTGGTGTTGATCGAGGAGAACGTGGAAGCAAATGTATCCAATTACGTGTTTATGGTTTATACGATGGATCAAATTTATTATACATCGGCGTTGCGCTCTATCTACAGTGCTGTTGCACTGGATTAGTTTTTTTTTTACGGCCAAACTCCGGACCAATTTGAGACCGAGGAAAAGGCACCCCATTATTGTAGATTGCAGAGCCGACGATGCATACAAATTAGTTCCCATGTGCTTTTTTTTCGCGCTATTTTTCCACTTTCAAACAACGCAATTGGAAAGGTGATCGAGCCTCGGATGGCTTACCAAAATTGAAAACTTTTTCTATTTCACGGGGCCAATACATTGCAGCATTCATGGTTGAACGGACTTCCTCAAATGGATGGACGCTTTGGGTGACGCATACCTAGACAAGTAGGCAAGTCACTGCGGTTTCGCAAAACATTTTTTCTGTATGAATGTTTCCACTAATTTCCGTCCGATAACGGAAGCTTTACGAAATCAATGTTGACCATCAGATATGGCGGCGCATCAGGTCTGTTAGGTGTTTGATAACGCAACTGATAAGAAATCCTTGTCGTCAATATGTTAACACAAAAGGGTGCGATAACTGCGGACTGTGTTGTATCGGGTTGTCGATACATGGTCAACCTGACCCTCATAGATTACAATGAAATGATAACAATGAAAAATCTCCCCTACAATGAACGCTTGTTCTAAATAGACAGCTCAGAGTTGCTTCATTTTGAAAATGTTTTTTTTTTTCAATCTCATAGGACACCCTCCAGTTTGATTCATAACCCCAAAAGATAAGCTTGTGCAAAAAATGGTTAAGATTGATGAAGGTTTAGAGAAAGCGCAAATGTAAACTTCAAAGGGGGATGTTATGGAAGAATATTGAAGTTCTCAAATATCACTCTAACTTTGGTTCTAGTTGTCCAAACGCTCAAAAATTGTATGGATTTATTTCAAGATTGATCATTCTTCTTGCAGTGTGTGATCTCATAGTCCAATAGGCCTTTTTAATGCAGCACCAACGTAGAGTGCACCACGCGAGTTCGAAAAGAAACGTCAACCAAACCGTTTGTTGACATCAGAATAACTATTTTTCACAACGCAAATTAAAGCATTTTTATTTCAATATCTTGCCAACTTCCATCGGTAATTGTCTTATTGTACGATTTTTCACAGATTTGAACTGATTTGTACCTCAACTATTCACACACAAGAAATCCGGAAGATCATAACCACTAAGGCACTTTTCTAATTTTCCATTTTTCTCAACAAAAATATTCCTGAACACCAGCAGGATCTTTGCAAAAACGTTACAGAATTAAATTTTTCAACTGTAAATCAAGTTTTCGAGCATCTCTAATAAATCAATTTATCAGGAAAAGTAAAAAAGTGTTCCGTTTCCTGTCTCACGGTAGAAATTTCTGCTCACAACACTCTTTTTGACGTTTTCCTATTCATCACCAGAGGCTGAATCGATCATTTAGTTTCTATTAAAAAGGCGTATCGATGCCTACACACAAAATCACGGCCTCCCTGTTCGGTAATTTTTTACTGGGTTTTTGAACAGCTGAAAAAGTCAGTAAACTTAAAAAAATTGTAAAAAATTGTATAAAAGTGATTTTTTCTTGAAATTTATACAGACTATATTCTTATTACATTTATTTGATGATAAAAATAAAATATGTTAAAATTGTTCGTTGCATTACGTGTGACCGTTATTTTCAGTTTACTGACTTTTTCAGCTGTTTGAAAACCCAGTAAAAAATTACTGACCCCAGTAAAATAATCTCTGTGTGTACACTTTGTTCTAATTTTCGAACAATTCGACGGTGTTGTGCGTCTATATAGAGCTTTTTGACGTTTAATCGTCTTTCTCAATCTACAGGGTGTCTACTTGGCTAAATAAAATTTCTTGAGTTTTCCTGGTATTTCCAGAACTTTAACGGATAATTTGCAGGTTTATAATAAGAAACCTATTTTTAAAAAATGCGTTAAAAATATGTTTTTTATTGGTAAAACAAGAACAACAGAAATTAACGCAAACGTTGTAAAATATGACAATCAGTACCAAAGAAGCAACTGTTCAATCAAATTAATTAAATCAGTGCCAACATTTCAAAGGGGCGTAATTGCATTTGTAAACAATGGTTTTAGTCCTCGATTTCTCGCAAATAAAAGCTCACTCATGAAAATTGATTGCACCAATAGGTAGATGAATGTTTCCTCTTCCAGCTAGCATTGTTAATTTGGAGGAGTGAGCTTTTATTTGCGAGAAATCGACGGCTAAAGCCTTTGTTTACAAAAGCAATTACGCCCCTTTGAAATGTTGGCACTGAAATGTTGAAGCATAACACTTACTTTATTTTAGTAAGTCTAAGATCTCAAAATATTCAATGTCTTGAACTATATTCCATGTACAAGCCTAAGATATTGAAAATTTTTATAGTGCCAAAATTAAGGGAAAAAAATAATTAAATGCTGTTTTTGTAAGTTTGCAATTAGCTTTAGAAAGGTTAGTGATCTTCAGTGAAGTTACATTAACTTCACAACAATTGTAGGAACATTACAAAAGTTCTGAGGATAAAAAGGAAATGCTGAAAATTTAAGTGAAGCTTCATAAACAAATTGCGGGAACATAGGGGAAATTAATATCCTGAAAAATGAGAAACTTACCGAGATGCTTGAGATTTGCGAAGTAATTAAGTCGTCTTAATAAATGTCGACCAGAGCGAGCATGTATGTATAAATGCAGCAACTACCACATCAACCGACAGATAGCAAAGAGCGGTGAACGGCATCATATTTAGCGACACTCTGTCTACACTCGACAAGTATGCCTAGATGCAAATTTGTTGCGACCACCAACGACTGCAAAAGTTGTGCCCTGAAGCAGGAAGCGAACATGAATGCCGAACTATAATTAACTGTTACTTTTTGTTTTCCTTTCTATACATAATAATCGATTGGTCCTAACTAGGTTTGCTACTACTGCGCACCATATGTAAATGTTGCAATCTATTTCACATGCATTTTCTTCTTTCACTTTTATCTTGCAGAATCCGCCCACAGATACCACGCGAGCTGATAGATATGTGCCGGGTGTGCACCCAAGTCACACCCGGTGAACCTCAGCTCTACCTCGGGTCCGATAAGGCCTTCACCTTCGATTATGTATTTGATGTGAGCGCGACTCAGGTATGTAAATTCGTATGCGATGGTATTTAGTAGAGAGGGACAAATCGACCCTAATACCCTGGACAGACTATGGCTTATATCATGTAATATAGGCTGTCTTGCAATGAGCACTCATACATAGGATTTCCAGTGAAAACTAGATGTATGAGTGCTCATTGCAAGACAGCTTATATTACATGATATAAGCCATAGTCTGTCCAGGGTATAAAGTAGCTAAATTGTCGTTCGTGGGCTCTGAAGGCTGCGTCTGTGCTCGTTAAAATAGCAAGCCTTGATTGTTTCCTGTCACGCATTGAACGTATAACGTTTGTTTCCCATCTAACGAAAATGGCCACCATCGAAATTCAGCTGAAAGCGTACGCCAAAATTATAGGAACGGATCGTAACTGCCAGGTGGACCTGAAGCGGTCCGTTTTCCAAATTGATCGCGATGTAAACGAAATCAAGATTCCGCTCCAAGCGATCGTGAAGCTGCGCAAGCCACTTCCATCCACTCCTCAGGCTGTATCCTCTTCCATTCTTCCGGCTCCCCAGACGGCACAAATGAGTCTACCGGTGATTTCGAAAATGCTTCCTCGAGAGGAATTGAGTCTTCAGGAGGATCCCAACATGCAGGCGATGGTGTCGACGTTCAACATTCCAATTAATGTTGGAAACGAGCGGAAAATGGTCAAGACGACGCTACGGTATAAGAAGGCACCGAAGCCTGTGGTAACGGAAATTGAGACGCAGACCGAAGTCAAACAGGAAACTTTGAGTGATCTGTACCCGCAAGATCCGGTTGCCCGGGCGTTGATGCTCCACCAGGATCGACTGCAACCGGTGAAGCAGGCATTAAGGGAAATCAAGACCAAGATCAGCAATCTAAGGTTGGAACAGAAGACGACCCGCTACACAACAGGTCAAGGAATGGAGTACTTCTACGGAACGGATTCCAGTTCCTGTCCGTTTATTCAATATTTGATGAAGCAAGATCAGGACGGACGGATCGACATGAATACACCCATTTCCAAGATTGTTGGTCAGGACTACTTTCTAGCATTCGAGCACGAAAAGGCAGCTGAATCTCAACTGACGAGATTGAGCACGATGCTGAGACCATCGATACGGATCAGTAATGTCGGGCCGCTGGAGAAGCGTGACAGTGAGGAAAGTGGAGAAAGTGGTGCTGCTCAGAGTAAATCAAGCAAATCGGACAAATCAGTCATCTCGGTAACCGAGGAAAATGGTAATGCGTAGTAATTGTGAATTTTTGGAGCATAATAAAATGATTTTTTGCAATTCGCTGGTTTGATTGATTTTACTCTTTGTGATTAGTAGAATCGGTTTCTTCAGAACATAGGCAAAGTTTCTTCTAAAATGTCATTAGGGTGCTAACCAAACAGTTCCAAAGCTTGTAGAATAGGGTTACTTGGTCTATTATGGATCCCCTAGTAGCTGTGTTAGGCATTTTCACTATATTCATGACCTTTTAATTATTGTTCCGGATATGCTTTTCAATAAGGTGCAAGTTTATCCTTTACTTTGTGTGACTGATATGTAAAATAAATAAATTACTTTATTTTACCAAGGAAAATCACGCGGGGTCCATTATAGGATTGCTTAAATCCTATAATGAACTGTCAAAAATAAATTCACATAGGGGAATTTACGTATTCTCGGCAACCTGAGCAGCGACCTTCTTTCTATAGCCTTTTTCTCTAAGGAACGCACACATATGCAGTATTGGTTTGTTTACAATCTTTTGCTGCCAGCTGCTCTAACAATTTCAGTCGAAAGAATTGTCAAAAACTGTTTTGAAACGCTTTTACAAAGCTCCAATCTTCTCTAGTGAGAGCAAGTATTGTCGGCAACCAGTTTTTCTTCGGCAACCGTTCCATTTGAACTGCATGTAAATCTGCTGTTCTATTATCGGCAACTCGAAATCAGCTACAATTTGTAGTGCGTGTGTTGCATTTCAAGAAAACCTTGCTAGATTGCTTTTTCTCAGTGGTAAAAATATAGTCAAATTGAAGCTGAAAGCATAAAGAATCGTTTGCATGCATTCAGCGAAGTGTTTTCGTAAGAAAATCCAGTGAAAATAGTGTTTCAATTTGGGTTGCCGAAAATAGTCTGTCATGCCGAAGCCGTCATTTCCCCTACATAAGATTTGAGCTTTTATTCAGGTGCCTCATGTTTTATTACATTATTTTTTTACAGCTCCTGTTGTACTTAACATTATTGTCATCTATTTTCTCCATGTTTTAAACGGTATTTGACCAATATTCTCCATGAATCCGTTGCAGATGATTTGTAAAAGATGTCTTCCGATGGCATTTACCGGTAAATTACATATTTTTTTTGCTACACTTATAATCCGTAAGTGGTCCACTAAGGGAAAAGGGTCCATTAAAAAGAAAATTAACCCTGGATACTGTGAAGTGCCATACATTCAATTCGTTCTAAAAAGAATAAGAGTGATCTTGAAATTGTACGTGTAAAATTGTAAAATCATGAGATTTCAAAATCTTTTTGAATCTCGCTCAATTCTGATTTAACACTATTTTCATTTTTTAGATTTTGCCCCCTATGCAGGATGGGTGGTTCATTTTTAATACCACCATATTTTTCATTAATTATTTTGAGATTTTTAGAAACCAATTGCATTAAATTTGGTTGCAATTTGAGAACAAACGATCAAACATAGAAGCGAAATAAAAAATCGCGCCAGCTCCGTATTGAGTGTACATTAATCTTGAATTCATACCTAAATTTAATTTCTACACACTAAGATTATCTGAAATCTCAACAGCTGAACGTTCGGTAAATAGTTCGGTGATTTTTCGCAGATTTCCTGTAATTTTTCACCGAATATCTGTGAAAAATCACAGGCAAATTGTGAAAAATCACCGAACTGTTTACCGAACGTTCAGCTGTTGAGGTTTCGGTAAAACTTTACAGATTTCGGTAAAATAAACTTAGTTTGTATGTAAGATCTTGAAACATGTTCAATATCTGAATTAACTAGATAATTTATTCACAGCATATAATTTGGAATTTTCTCTAGATTTTCATTAACATCATCTCAAAATATCTTCAATATTTTAATATTATTATTTATTAGTGACACTTTATCAATTTCTGTGATATATGTGTCGTCAATAATCTTATGATTATCTCCTGTGTTCCTTTGAAATTTTCTCCACAACAGTTTCGGGATTCTCACTATAGGATTTTCCTCTTTAATTTTCTCTACCATTATATTCGTATTTTCAATCATTCTTGTGAGAATTTGCTTATATTTTTCGCATAATTTCGTTGAAATTAACCTCAGAATTTCCTTGAAATTCACATCATAAATGTCTTGAAATTCTCATTAGAATGATCTAGAAATTCATCACATTTCTGAAAATCACCTCCGAATTCCATGACATTTTTTTCAAAACTCCTTTAGAGTTCTCTTCAAAATTCTATTGAAATTATCCTCAAAGTTTCCTTAATTGTCCTTAGAATTTCTCTGGAATTCTCTATGGAATTCCCTTCCAACTTTTCTCTTGAAATTCTTCTCTGAAATCCTTATGGACTCTCTACTGTCTTTGCGATCCTCCCAGAATTTCCTTGGAGTGCCCTTATAACTCTTGAGAATTCTCCTAGGATCTACCTTGAAACAATCTTCTACGTTAGAATTCGATTATCTTGGAATTATTATAGGTATTCCCTAGGAGCTCTGCCCTCATACTTAATTTTTAATGATTGATTGGTTAACATTTAAATAAAACAACAGAAAAGGTTATCTTACATTTAATTACACTTAATTAATGTTGGTATCCATGACAGATACGTATTTCGACTACTTGTAGTATGTATCTTGAATCTTGAAATTAGCCCAAATATTATGGAATTACGGATTTTCCTTAAGATGTTGATTCCTTTGCATCTATAGTTGCGGAAGTGTTCCTATAATAGTGGAACCCATTACAATTGTTGTCTTAAGAGCTATGTTTACAATTTGACTTTGTTTATATTTTTTTATAATATGTCTTGAGAACAAGTTTAAACATTACTTCTAGCTGACGTTATGCGAGGAATTAAAATATTGCTTTAATTTGGTTTTTGTCATTGTAAAGTCAATGTTATCGCAGTGCTTATTATATGTATCCATCATTTGGTTCAAGGGTCCAAATTTGGCATAATTCGTACGATGACGGTTTGTATCAAATATATTTCTATTTCGTAAATGCCTAGATGGTGTATATACATTTAAGGATGACAATAGTTCTATAGAATCAATGCGATGCGATACGATATCGTGTACGAAAGAAATCATAGCAAATTCACGACGCTCTTTTAATGTTTGGATATTTATGAGCATACACCGAGCTGTGTAAGATGGCAGAGGAAATACAGTCCAACCTAACTTTCGGAGTGCATACAATAGAAACTGCTTTTGAATGGACTCTATTCTTTCTTCGTGTGTGATTGAAAAAGGAGACCAAACTATGCTGCAATATTCTAATATCGATCTTACATAAGCAATGTATAATGTTTTTATCGTATACGGATCGTGAAAGTTATAACAGAAACGTTTTATGAAACCAAGCATGTTGTTAGCTCTGTTAATAATTGTGTTATAATGATCGGTGAAAGTATGTTTTGAGTCCAAAATAACACCTAGATCCCTGACTCTATCACACTTTTCTACGATCTGGTTTCCTAAAGTGATTGTTATATCGGGTAGGGTTCGTTTTCTACTAATGGTAATTGAGTTACATTTTTTTATATTTAATTGTAGCAGGCTTTTTTGGCACCAAGTATGGAATATCTGTATTTCCTCATTGAATGTGATGATGTCTTTGGCATCTTTTATTTCCAAAAAAAGTTTAATGTCGTCAGCATAGATTAAAACTTTCAATTTCTTAATAATGAAAGATATGTCATTGACGAAGAGAATAAATAAAAATGGTCCTAAATGGGAGCCTTGAGGAGCTCCTGAAGTGACATCAACGGGATTTAATATCTTT